TGACTACCAGCTGCTGCATCAACTTTGTTTATTCTGGAGTCATTACTATTTGTTCATGCTGCCCTTAGCCTGTTTTTTTTCTTTCAATTTTTTTTATTGTGTGCCTATAAATAAAGCATAGAATTGATTCATCTGGACAGTTCACAAGGATTTATTCGACCATGACGCTCACTTCTGACTTTCTCCTAGGATTTGAGGACATCTTGCAAGCTCTAAAATAGGTGAAATACTCAAGTCTTTTAAAGATATGCATAATGGTGAGGAGAATTGGCAGCATCCACAAGCCTAAGATGCCAAAATATTGGCCTGTCTCAGGACATCTTTTACTTTAGGAGGCCTAGCTCCTCCTAAGCAGGTATTTCTACTTTCAGTCCAGTAGCTATAGCTTCTAGGGAAAAAAGGTGGAAAGGCTTGCCGTGACTCCAACCATAGTCTCTTAAACATTTCAAACTCAAAATTATGACCCCCAAAAAATCTACCTGCATTGAAGTTAGCTCTTGAGTCTGTCTGCCTGTAGGAAATCCAAACTCAGCATAGTTGTCTGAATTCAACCCTTGATCTGGGAATCCAGAGATTTTCTCTCATCAGTTCATCAGCTGTGTTTGTGTATGTTTTATTTAGTACATTTTCAGGAAAATTGAGTACATAAGCTGCAGTGCTGCCAGGAGCCAAATGGGCACAGTGAGATGTCTTTAGATGGAAGTTTTGCAAGACTGTGCTTCACTCTTCCTTTTGCATCTTCATTCACACACCTCAACCCTGCTCTTCAACATAGGCCCAGAAGATATATAATTCCACAGTCGCATGACGTTCACTTAAGGTTGACTTCTAGACAACTCTGATTTTTATGAACAGCTTCTCTTCTAAGGCTCAGTAACAAGCTAATCAAATAGTGTACAGCATTATACTATTTATCAAATATTCAAATAATGAGTGGTTAATTACATAGTGTCTGGCCCTTCAGAAGATAAAACATCCATAATCTCGTGCATGGTGAAATATAAGGGTCCAGTTTTAATCTTTGGCAGGTTGAAATCCAGTTTTTCCAATGCCATTTATTAAAGAGGCTATCTTTCCTCCAGTGAGGATGGTTGGCTCCTTTGTCAAAAATGACATAGCTGAGTACATCTGGATTTGTTTTTCTGTCTTCCAATCTGTTCCACTGATCCTCAGGTCTGTTTCTTTGCCGGTACCATGCTGTTTTTATCACAGTGGCTTTGTGGTATAGTTTGAAATTGGGAATTGTTATATGTTATACCCGCTACCATGTCTCTGTTGCCTAGGATGGCTTTTGCTATTCTAGGTCTCTTCTGGTTCCATATGAATTTTTGGATTCTTTTTTCTAGTTCTGTGAAATATAGTGTTGTAATTTCAATTGGCATTGCATTGAATCTGTATAGCAGTTTTGGTAGTATGGCCGTTTTCACTGTGTTGATTCTTCCTACCCAGGAGCAGGGGATATCTTTCCATTTTCTTATATCCTCTTTGATTTCTTTTTTCAGAGTGCTATAGTTTTCAGTGTAGAGGTCTTTTGCTTCTTTTGTTAGAATGATTTCTAAATACTTCATTTTTTTGGATGCTATTGTGAAAGGAATTGTTTCCCTAATTTCTCAGTGACTCTGTTATTTGTGTATGAGAAGGCTATTGATTTTGGGGTGTTCACCTTGTATCTGGTTACTCTACTGAATCTGTCAATTAAGTCTAGTATAGTGGCACAGTTTGTAATAGCTAAAACTTGGAAATAGCCCATTTGCCCATCAGTTGGAAACTGGATAAAGAAGATGTAGTTTTTCTATAAAATGGAATATTACTCAGCCATAAAGAATGATAAATTAGATTCATTCAAAGGAAAATGGATACATATTAAGGATATACTCCTAAGTGAAATAAATAAGTCACACATGTGTAAATACCAAATAGTTTCTCTGGTTTGAATAAACTGTAATAGTACATAAGATCCTAATGAGATAACCGACATTGTGAAAAATGGGAAGAAAAAGGGCTAAACGTGTAGGGAAAGTGGGAAGGATAGGGGAAAGGTAGTAAGGGAAAAGAAAATAATGTGAGAAAATGAAAAGATGGAAATAAAATATTTGTAAATGGGGAGGGGAGGAGGGGGTGAAGGGAGGTCAGGGACAAGGGGAAAAAATGAGAACCAAGACCTGTCATGTGAAGGTACAAGATCCCAATAATGAATTTAACTGTACTGTATACCTAAAATGTACCAATAAACTCAATTAAAAAATAAAATAAAATATCCATAATCTCAGTCCACATCATCCAAAGATTATATTCTGAAAAGGCCCATACACAATAATTAATGACATCTGAGATTGTACACAGGGACTCCCACATAGAGCTCACTGTACTGTGAAATGTGCTTAGGCACCCTACATGGAGTTCGCATGTCTAAAATGTGCTGTAGTCCCAGCACTCAGGAGGCAGAGGTAGGACGATCACCATGAGTTTGAGGCCAGCCTGAAGTACATAGCAAGACCTTGTCTCAACACACACATACACACACACACACACAAACACGCGCATGCACACATACACACACACACAAAATACACACATACATACATGCATACATAATGGAAAAAACTTGAAGAGCTCCTCCCAAGAGCCTTTCTGAAATAGTGCTGCATTTCCTTGATAAATCACATGCATTGCTAATATCAGTCAGGGAAAGAGTGAGTTGGCAAAAAATAAGGCAGCAAAGAGAGCTGAATTTTCTCCTGAGAATGTGGGAATTTTAAATGTGTATTTTAATTTTATTTATTAGTACCAAGATGTTGGAGACAGAACAGAAATGAATAGGAGAGACAGGACATTGGTCAGGAGGCAGAAGTTCCAGTTGGCTAAAGATGAAAGAAATCATTATTTTATAAGGAGTATAGATGTGTAATATTTAGTTTAAAGTTGTTTGTAAAGTATGCTGGTTGTGGCAGTGAAGGTTGGAGTCAGCTTGTACTGGGTCACAAGAGCCAACTGTTAAGTTGCCAGGAATTTTACAAGCGGGTCATTAAAAAATAGTTATTCAAGATTAAATGGGAAAACTCACAATTAAATCATATTAAAAATAAAAAACCAAAACTCAAAAACTTATCAGGTCTTAATCATTTTGCCACATTGTACATCTTTTCTCTTGAGGTTACTTAAATCTACATTGTATGTGTATTAGAAACATTGTGTGATGTTATAACAAAACACGATGCCATAACACAGCAGACGCTGACCCCTTCCCAGCTTTGCTCAGTGATGTCATGCTGATAACTGGGAGTATGGCATCACAAGATTTGGCAGAGGCCAATACCAAGTGTTTTTGTTTGGGGAGAACATCATTAAACATTTACCAGGACACCCCTGGGTCAAGGGGAGGGTGTGTGGATGTGGCTGCTTAAAATTTTAGCTTAGTCAGTTATGAGCTCTGTGACCTGGGCATGTACTAAACGAATCAAAGTACATGGAGCATTTTGAACATTACCTGCTACAGTAGTCCTCCCTTATCTGTAGTTTCACTTTTTATAATTTTAGTTGCTCATGGTCCAAAAGTACTAAATTGAAAATTCCAAAAATAAGCAGTTTATAAGTTCTTGCTTTTTCCCTATTCTGAGTAGCATGATGAAATCTCACATCATCCTGCTCTGCCCCACCTACACCCTGAATCTTCCTGTTGTTCAGATTATCTATGCTGTGTGTGCTACCTGCCTATTAGTCACCTAGCAGTGCTCAAGTAATCCTATTTTACTCCATATTGACCCCAAGGAACAAGAAGGGTGATGCTTTCAATTTTAATTTGCCAAGAAGAAGCTGTAAAGTACTTATGTGAGAAAGTGAAAGTTCTTAACATTGAAAAATGAAAGACAGACTATGCTGAAGTTGATGAGGTTGATGGTAATAAAACATGGTTTATGTAGGGTTCAGTACTACATATGGTTTTAAGCATCCACTGGGGGTTTTAGAATGAATGCCCACAGATGAAGGACTACAGTGTGGAATTGTTAATGATTCTTCATGCTGTTGCTGTTGTTACATTGATTTATATAATGATGATGATAATAATAATAATAATAATAATAATAATAATATAATAAATACACATCTCCTGTATAAGTGGCACACATCTTCCTAAATACTCACAAACACACACAAAGGCCTGACTTTCCCAGGACCCTTTCCTGAGTGCATCCGTCACAGAAACCAGGTCTTTCCTGAGCTGTTCTGAAACCCTAGCTACTACAGGACTGTTGCCTATGACCTTCTTTATGAGGTAACTGAGTGGCAATGAACTTTCTATCACTCTGAAAGAATTCCCAGATAATAAACTTGTAAGGACTTAAAAGCTGTGTTTTGATTCATGGTTTTAGAGATTCCACTCCAGGTGGATCTGTTGCTTGTAGGCCTCTGGTAGGAATACCTCATAGGCAAGCAAGGAGCACATTGTGGGGTAAACTGCTTACCTCATGACCAAGAAGCACCAAGGAAGAGGAAGGACTGAGTGTCACAAGCCCCTTGTAGGGAACACCTTCAGTATTTTAAGTATGCTCCACTAGGCTCACCTCCTAAAAGTTCCACCACCTCCCAATAGTGCCAACCTGGGGACAAAACCTTTAACATGTGACAGTTAACATTTTGGTGACAGTTAACATTTAGACCTAGCAAGCTGACTTGCCTATGCCTCTTAACTCCTTCCTCTCTGCTGGCTGAATATAGACACAATGGTAAACTCCACACCAATTATTTTGAACTCTAAGGACTCTGCGAATTCAGATTCCATGATGAAGGAGTAATAGACAAGTTTGCTGTGTCCCCAAGGACGCTAGGCAGCACAATCTCATATGAGCCCTTTCCTGGGAAAAGAAACTGAGTGTGTTTTTCAGGCCCTTTACAGTGTGTCCAATCAGCTGACTTGGCCGTATTCAGAACCTGGATCTCCCTCAACTCTTCAGATCTGTATTGTAATAAAACTATGTTATTTTGGCCCTTCTTACTCACAGCTGAGTCCTGTTCTACCTGCTTTCACCTTGGTGGAGTCCCAGCTGTGCATAATAACAAGTGGAAGAGGCCCTCGGGATGGAGAAGAGCAACAGGACGTGGATGGAGAAGAAAACGTAACCCGGCAGGAGACAGAACCCTACACCCCTGCAGATACAAAGCCCTTGTTATGGAAAGAGGGAGTCTGGCTTTTGCCCAAAACTTGAAACAGCTTACACCAGCTTTGCCCCCAGTCTGATTCCCATGAAGGCTGAGTAAACAGATAGATCATCCAACTCCGTTCAGGGTCTCTACTCCAGGCGCCTGGTCTGGCAAATCCAACTCAGGGTGGAGCTATGCTTCTGGTGCCATCATCAGTTTTTCTCTCCTCTCTCAAGACTGTTGTCACATGGCTTTTCCAGGGAGATTTCCATGTAATTTAAATGTTTTCCCCGTCTTTTTATTTTGGTTCTCTGTATAACCACAGCATGTGCTCTGTGCCATCCTTCTGTTTATTTAGGCCTTTAGATCTCTGCCATCTGGATTTGCCATCTCTTTCCCTACATTTCTCTTGCCTTTCTCAGCCCCGGTGACTGTAGGTGCCTTTACCCTGTGGGGTGTAGGGCTGTCCAAGCCATAAATGCCTCCTAAGGAAAGACCCATAGTTCCTGTGATTGCTCCCTTGAAAAGTGCCTTCAATGCAGATTGTATTATTATTCAGGCCTGTAGAGGCAAATAAATCAAGAGACTCTGGAAGGAAAAACATAATTTATCCATGTTTTCAGAGGGAGGGGCTGTACCTCACTTCTCAGGCCCTAAGGGAGAATCACTAGGTCCAGGGTGGGTTGGGAGATAAAAGGAACAATGGAAAGAGGTGGGCAGTGCCTTCATTGTGGCTTTCAGGGAAAGGAACCCACAAGGCAGAGGAAACAAGCTAAACAGGTGTAGGATCCCTGAGCTCCAGCTCTGGGCATGGCCTGAAGCCATCCGCTAATTGACTCAGGGTAGCTAGAGCAGGAGAATAAGGCCTGGGGTGGAAGAGGCAGATTTGGGGAGAGGATTGAGTTGGTTGGGTCAAAGAGCACACTTCTGGGAAAACTTTTCTGTCTGTTGGAATTAACACACCCCGAGAAAGTCAGTTCTGCAGAGTCAGCAGGACTGTGGGCATCAGAGCACCAACAATATAGACAGAGAAGACCTAAGCCAAGGAAGCTTAGAGAAGACAATGCTTTCACCTTGAAGGAGGTGGGTTAGCAGTATAGAAAGTACATCAAGTAAACTCATGACACTCCCGTTGCAGAAAAGAGGATGTGGCGACTGGAGAAGGAGCAGGTGGCAGGAGCTGCCACAGAAACTGTGTGCTTCCCTGAAGACAGGAAGAAGGCCCTGCTGGGAAGATGGAGACAAAGACTTCATACCTTGTGAAATCACTGAGCTCAGCTTAGACCTCTGGGTTCCAGACCCCATCCTCCATCCTTAAAGCTATTGCCTGCAGCTGAGTGCAGGGTAGACTGCTGTGAGACCAGCAGGATGAAAGCCAGGGCTGGGTCAAAACACGTGGTCTTGGACTGGCCCAGTTGGATTGAGAAGAGAGCTGAATGACCAAGGAAAGATTTGTGATCGCAACATTTTAAAGAAATCATGGCCGTCATAATGCATAAGACAGACAACAGGGGAAATAGAATAAAGAAAATTGTTAGATAGAAAATAGCTGAGTGCATGAATGGATGAGGATCCAGAGGTGAAAATTAAAAACAATAAGGAAGTCTAAGAATGTTTTATGGAGTGGCCACCAAACTTGGTAGCACTGGGTGCAAATGAGAAAGTTTCATTACAAGGCCTCAAGTCTTTGGAGTCTGCATTACCAGGACAATGCTAACACCACAGAGTCAGTAAAGGGGGCACAATAGAGCTGTCCCCAGGCCAGCACAAAAACGTACCACTTGGCTTGGCTCTTTGTGCAGGCTCACAGAAGTCAATTCGATGTCATACATGATGATCTCAGCCAACATCAGGGTTGCATCAGGAGGCTGAAGTAGGAGAATTGAGAGCCCGAGAACAGTCTGAGCAATTTAGCATGACCTTGTCTCAAAAACAAGAGAAAAACATTTCCAAAGGACTGGAAGTGTAACATGTACAGCACTTAGCCAGCATGGAGCCCATGTCCCTCTGTTCCAAAGGAAAATAAAAACTGTATGACTTGCTTGTGATCAGAAAAAGGAATATTTTTGTGATTTAAGAAAATATTTTTGTGATTTTTTTGAAGTAAGAGGAAGAAGCTAATTAATTGAGCATCAGTTCCCTGGATTCCCACATCACCTCATTTTTTAATAATAGCCATGCTTAATTATTATTTTCACAATTTAATTATGAAGAAATTGAGGCCAAAAGATCAAAATGTACTTGCGGCCACAGAGCTGTAAGTGATGGAGCTGATAACACCACAAACACATTTACTATGAGGACAAACAAGTGGGGAAATGATGTTTTTAAGAGATCTAAACTCTTTTTGTAATCTGGCCTCAAATCTTTACCTACTACTTAAATGGTCTTCAGAGCTCCTAAATTAGTCAGCGACTCATTTTACTCCCGTATTTATAAATAGAACTGACCAGTTTTACCAGGATGGAATACAAAACAGAACAGATAATCTCTATAGGGATAAAGTTATTTTTTGAATAACCTTTACTGAAGAAACTAGATCAAAAGTTTTCATGACATTTCAGAGAAGAATTTATTTTGAAACAGCAGGATTGTGCAGCACACGGGGCAGTAGGCTGGGTTAGTCAAGAATGGAGCATCAATGTGTTTATCTCCCAGACTGGATGTGAACCAGCCCACCAGAGGGTCCAGCTGGTGGAGCTGGTAACCAGGCCCTGGTTTACTGTGAACTTTCTCAAAGGAGAATGCAACCACCAGAGTAATCTTTGGTCCACACTCCAAGCACCAGCCACACAGCCAAAGATTACCAGTGAGACATGTCCAGCCATCCATGATATGTGCCCAACACTTTCCTTAGCACAGTCCCTGAGTGCCACACAGACTACATTTCCCTGAACCCAGAGGTAGTATCTGTCACATAACCTTGGTGGTCCCTGCTGCCTCCTGCCTGGCCTGGTTCACAAGATGCCTGGTTTACTGTGTCTGCGAGGAGCTTAGTTCCCAGGTGCTTGTTATCAGATGTACCAATTTTAGCCCAACACTTTCTGGGTCAGCTGATGGACCTCATTATTGTTATTGCTTTGTTTCTGAAGGTAATGTACTCTATGTGTTGCCTATACCCTCCATGACAAACACCATCACATGGTGACTGAAAACAATAGCCATATTCTTTCATATTCAGAAGCCAGAAGTCTAGAGTCAGGTGGGCAGGCTGTGTCTGCTCTGGAGACTTCAGGGAAAGATCCTTCTTGCCTCTTTCAGCCTCTGTGGTCCCAGGTATTCCATGAAACAGCATCATTCCAGCCTCTGCTACATATTTATGGCATCTTCTGTGTTTCTTAGCCTCCAAGTCCCTAAAAAAGATGCCAGCAATTGGGGCCAGGACCTACTGTCACCTAGCATGGCCTCATCTTTACTTGATTGCCTCTGGAGAGACTCTGTTTCTAAATAAGGTCACATTCACAGATACTCAGCAGGGTTAGGACAAAAACCTACTTCCTCAGAGGACACAGTTCAGCCCATAAAGGGCCACAGTCCCCTGACTGGCCTAGGATGGAGAACCCAGCTTCTACTGTGCCTCACGCAAAGGCACTTGCTGGTAAATTCAGCCTGCTATTTACTCCAGAGAAACAGGACAGAGCCTGTGGATATGACAGACATTGTTTTCTGTGTCTTTCATTCACCTAGCTACTTTTTTTTTTTAAACTGGAGGAAGAGGGCAGGATGAGTGAGTTCTCTGCTAACCCAACTGAGTCCTGTGTCCCTGTGCTGCCATGACCTGGAGCCAGTTCCTTGACAGCTGCATTTGAAGCTCTGGGTGGTCACCAGCCTGCCCCCAAAAAGAGCAGAGCAAGAGTCCTTGGAGCTCCTCCCCACTCTTTGCCCAGGACATGAGGACCAGAGTCCAGGCAGAAAGCTCGCTCTCATCAAGGCAGCCATGGGCTACTGTCGGCTCAAGGACTGAGAGCAATGGTTCCCATCTTCTCAGAAGAAAAGAATTCCCTGTGGGATTTAAACTGTCAGGCCCTGCATGGACCTGGATGTCTGAACTCCCAGGAGGAACCTGGTGCTGTAAATTGACATTTCTCTCATGATCCTCTTTACCCGAGGCCTTGGGAGACATCCCCTTAAAGAAGTCCCTCACCTCCCAGGCCTGCCATATGCCCATTGTCACCCAGACAGTCTGTTTCAGGCACTGGGCTCTGTCACAGTAATGGCAGCACCCATACTAGGCCGTTCCTGTTGTTGAGTGCCTGGCCTGACTGTAGCTCTCATTTTGTGAGTGTGCCCTGTGTCTTCCAGCAGTTACTGAGCTTGCAGTAAAGAGGGCTGACAGTAGGTACACATAAGTACATGTGTATATGTGTGTGTGCACATATATGTATATATCCATGTGTGTGTGCATGTGCACACACACGTGACTGTGTGTGTGCCCATGTATATGACCAACTTGGAAGAGGAGAGGTAATGATGGAAAAGGAAGGAAGATGACCACCACTGCCTGCCGGGGGCGGGCTGTATCAGTTGCAGATCACCAGATCACTTGTAAAGGAATACACATGATAAATATTTTGTGTGCAGACTTGAAATCAGGAGGCCCAGTCCTTGTTCTAAAGGAGGAAGGCACAGAGATGGAGAGTTAAACTCCAAGGGATTCACATTTTAGTGCTCTGGCAAACAGAGAAAGGTGGCCACAGGGGAAGTCTCTCAGTGGCAAAAGTTCACTTGATATTCTGGAGGACTGTGGGCAGACCATGGGCCCCATCTGTGCATTGAGTTAGCAGCTTGCCTGCTGTGTTGCTACATCATGCAGGAGATGGTGAAGATGGTGATCAAACACAAGATGCCTGGCAGAAACTTGGATTTTGCATGAAGGTTACTACACTGTGCAGTTTATTTGAAATTCAGGTTGAGCTGGGAAGCCTGCACATTGGTATGCCCAACATGCCGGCTCTGCCTTTGTAGGATGGAGACAAACTGTGTGTGTGTGCAGCCCCTACACACACTCATACCTTCTCCCATCCTGGAGGCTTGGCATGATTGCGGGGCAGTTCCAGTAGACTTTCCAGACGCCTGGAGTCTCAACATGTTTAGCACTAATGGCAAGAAAGAAAGAGGGAGAGAGGTCCAACCCTGCCCCATCCTGGGTGCTCCACTGACCAAACCATGGAGCCTCTCATGGGTGAGGAGATGGTGCCATACATTGTGGGAGGGTAATACATATTTATCAAAGCTCATAAGCAGGGAAGGAGAGGAAGGGGCCCCAGCTGTCATTTTAATTATTTGTCTGATGGTGAACTCTTTCCATGGCTTTAGCCATTGGGTTCTCCACACTATAGTTTTCCATCCTGTGAGGCGCCCAGGCTGCAGCTAGCCAAGTTCCTGGCCCCTGTTGGTCCTCACTGCATTACTCTTTGCCTGGCCAGCATCCCAGTAACAGACAGAGTGGATATGACATGGTCACCACACAGTCAGAGATCACCAAAAGGACTGAAATAGACAGAAGCCTGGGCCTTGATCCTGTTGTTCCATAAAAACATGATTTATGACTTTCTGGAAACCAAAACCATTTTTGCTAAAAACTGTAACTCTTAGGCCTACAGATACCCAATAGGTAATTAAAAGTAGAACAGAGCTTAACTTTCCATTTTTTATCTTTTGCTACTAAAGCTTTGGGTCACATTCTTTCTTACCTCTGAACATGTTAATCATTTAGGGAGTGTCTGCCTAGAAGTTGGCAAAACAAGGTTGATCACCACCAAGTTCACAGAATGTGACAACACCAAGGGGAGAGATTTACAGGGCCATTGAACTACCCCCAGAAGTCTCCAGCCATTGTTCAATTCCCGTGATCACCGGGATTCCAAGAAAAGCAAGAGTCCCACATGACTGAAACCACCACAGAGACAACCCTTTCATGGAAAGGAAGCCAGCCCTCAGCCATGAGGATTCTGGAGCTAGGAAACCAGGACTGAGATACTATGATGACAACCAGACCCCAGCCCATCAGCTGCCGCTGCCTGAGTGGGCAGCCAGTATGAACCTTTATCAGAGCACATCCCTCCAGCTTGAATCCTTGCTGATTTTTCTTACTCTCCCTTGTTAAGGGCCAGCCTAATCTTTGTCAGTTCCTCAAACTAGTGTCTCTTAACCATTTTCTCTGACTCTCTAATTAAAGCCTTTTCTTGTAAATCTGTGCTTTACTCCTAATTCCGTTTTTACTGAAAGCAAGAATCCATGTTAGCCTACAAAGGGGAGGAACACTGTGTGCTATGAGGCTGCTCCAATGAGAAAATACAGAATCACCAATGGGAATTCGGTGAGTTAGTAACAGTAGAGATACAGCAGGGAGGGGTTTTCTGAAGGTGCCCTGTGGAAGGTGAACACCAGAATTGAACTGGCGGTACAAGGCAAAGGCCTGGGGAAAGGAGGATTGGGGAAATCCCAGGTACAAAGACAAGCAGGTGTACAGGGCATATTGGAGGTAGGGAGCCCCAGTGTACCCCACAGGAGATGTAGAGGGGCCCAGACGTCTGGATGAGTCTGAGCACAATGAGAGCTTTCGGGCTGAGTTCCCAGCACTCATTTAGTCCCAAGAGGAGCAGAGCCCAGCGGGCCTCAGGGTGGTCCTCTCTAGCTGAGTACCTGTGGCGGGACCCGCTGTGTCTGGGGCACCATCCCCAGCTGCCCACTATCCCTGTTGAGGACAACCTCCCAGCAGTGACCTCTCACAGGCTTGGGTTTCTCACTAGTGACCCTGGCCTGGCCACTATGACAAGGTCTGTCCTGCCCCATCTCACAGGTCTCTGGCTCCAGCTTGCTACCCCCCACTGGTTCTGAAAGGTACTCCTTCCTCATCCCCGGTGCCTCAAGTCCAGGGGGGCGACACTGCCCCTGGGGGGCCTATCCATGACTACATAGTTCCTAATCTATTTTCATTTTTCAGAACAGAGAAGGGGAGAAATGTACAGAGAATTTTTTTTTTGTCTACTCATGTGGGAAAGCACACCTTCCCTTTCCAACATGTACAGTGGGCCTATGTGATGTGAAAAACTCATGTGGCAGTGTTATCATCATTATGAGGTGTTAAGAGGTAGAGGTGAAGCCTTTGGGAGATATTAAGGCTAATGAGGCCAAGAGAGGAGGGCCCTAATCTGATGGGGCTGCTGCTCTATAGAAGAAGAGGAGGCATCTGTGCTCGAAGTCTGGCTGTGTGATGCTCTGTGCCACCTGCAACTCTGCAGAGTCCCCACCAGCACAAACCATCATATCAGATGTGGGTCCCTTCCCAGTCTTCAGAACTGTGAATATGTGAACAAAGCAACCTCTATTCCTGATGTGTTACCCAAATCTATGGTATTATAACAACAGCAAACACACTACAACTGTTACTCTGAAAACTAGTGGGAAAATGCTTGGAGCAATTGCTGCTCCAATCCCAGCAAGGACACTTGCTGTAAGGTAAAGTCAGCCACAGAGTTCTATACACAAGACCATTTGAAGATTAGATGCAGTGACCCTGTGGAACCCCGAGCTCTCTACTGAGGCGTGGTCTGCACCCAGCTGCACCTCTGAGAGCGAACTCTGGGGCCAGCCTTAGTCCCAAGTCCTGCATGAAGTATAGACTGGGGCTCACACATTTCCACTTTGCTCTGTTCCTCAAACTGGAGAGGAATTTGTATCCTCCAGGAGAAACTGCGAGGATGGGAAGAGACAGAAGCAGGTTGGATCTTGTAGGGAAAGAGAGGAGACAAAAATTGTCACGCAAGTGTAAGAAAGCAGGACAGTATAGGAAAGAGGTTCAGGTTGTGTGAAAGTGTAGCCCTCAGATAACTCCAAGAACTGGAGCAGTTTGGAGGCAAAAAGTGAGGAGGATCTGGACGGTGCTTAGTTCACCCAGGAGGTTGTTCGTAGAAACTGACCACTTGCTTCCCTGGTGTCCTGCGACCGTAATAACAGGTGTGTGAGAACACAGTCTGCCCGCTGTCTCACTCAAACTCTGCTCCAGGTGAGCTGTTTCTGCTGAGTGTGGAGGGAAGAAAAGCAGCAGGACAGTTGGCTGTGGTGGCACAGTGTCAAGGTTGCATGAACATGCACTTGTGTCTTGAGATGTACCATGCGTGTTACCGTCAAGTGCCTAAGAATGAAAAGATGGACAAAGACATCGCTCCCCTCCCCAAGCTCGTGGTGCAGGGACAGAGCCTGTGAGAGGAAGAGTATATCAGACTCATGGGAAAGTCAGGGCCATGCAGGTGCTGCCCCAACCTGCGCCCAAGACCAGGCTGATGTGGGTCAGCAGCAGGAAGCACATGCACTTGGTCTCAATGGGGAAAAGGGAAGTGGGGTGTGGGGGGGAGGAGTGTTACACAGAGTGAAAGGCTTTCGGTGTGCACTAGCAGTTACAGCCAGGCCCTTCTCTTCCAGGCTGCAGCAGTAAAGACTGCACAGCAGGGTCGGGCTGAAGAGCAGGAGCTATGCAGGATGGGCAGCTGGAAGGCTCTGCCAAGATGGGGCTACAAGGATAGAAGCAGGGGCAGGGAATAAAAACCTTGCTGCTGCATTTGTACTGCAGAAAGATCCTGCCCATAGAAGCAGGGGCTCACACTGCTCCTGGCAGGGTGTCGGGGGCTGACCATGACTGCAGAATTTATGAAGAAAAACCAAGCTAAAAGCATGAAGTTATCTCTCTTCTGCAAAAGGTAACAGAGGGAATGCAGGGAGCCAGGAGGTGACATAGGGCAGTGGGCCTGGTCCCCATTGAGTTAGCCCTCTGCCACAGGCTAATTGTATTGCTCACAATTGATGTGTTGCATTGTTATCCCGTGACTAAGACTGTGACTGTGTTTGGAGACAGAGTCACTACAGGGACAATTATAAAGTAGAATGAGGTCCTTAGGGGGAGCCCCTCTCCAATGAGACCAGTATGCTTAGAAAAGATACAGAGAGAGAGAGAGGGAGGGAGGGAGGAGAGAGAGACAAGGAGGAGATGGCCATCTGCAAGCCAAGGTAGAGGCTCTAGGAGAAGCTAACTGTGTTGACACCTTGATCTTGGACTTCTCACTTCCTGGACTTTGAGGAGATGGATGTGCAATGTGTAAGCAGCCTTTTCTATGGAGCTAGCTTACCACGGTCCTCACGGACAAAAGCAGCCTTCCACCCCTGCCAAGGGCCAGCCTTCTCAGAGCGGTGGGTCTGTGAAAGCAGGTGCATAAGTTATTGTTAAGCTCAGAATTTCAGTTATTTTATTTGGTTAACATAACAAACTGTTGCTGTATCTTTTGTTATATATACTTTTATGGATTAAATAAAAGTAAGTAAATCTAAAACTCCCGGTACACATTGTCCAGACAAAGGAAATAATAAAACTCCCCTGTGGGTAGCAGAAGAAATAAAAGCTGAAAAAAATTCCCTGTCTTTGGGGGGCACCACCTTGAATGGATCAAGCTCCCTTAAAGATTATAATCTCTTCAGCAACACAATTAAATTTATAATGTTGTTTCCAGGAATCATACATCAAGCTTGTAAGTAGATGGCCTAGTCCTCAGGTTTGCTTATTCTTTTCGTTTCTCCAACTGGCAAGTCCAGCCACAGAAACAATGCCCTCATGAGAATGGATTGCTGTTTTGAGTTCTGCTGTGCTGGAGAATGTTTGCTGTTCTTCAGTTTATTCAGCTTCCAAAACTCTTCCTTTGGGAAAATGACATTCCAAAATTGCATAATTTGAATTTGGCTTCAAAGTGACCTTATTTGACTTCCACTCCTGGGAAGACAGAGTAGGTGAATATTTCCCTATTCTTTCTACTAAATGCAGCTACAAACCCTCGGCATTGTATGAAAAAACAGCATAAGAGGACTCCAAAAGGTGGCAAGAAAGAAGAGAACCAAGTCTTACACACCCCCAGGGGCCTCGCTTCTTTCCACCAGCCCCAACCTCTCAAAGCTTCCATCGCCTCCCAGGAGGGCCGCAGTCTAGGACCAAGCCTTCAACCTGTGGGCCTTTGGAAGATACTCCACGCCCACACTTGTCCCACTTGTCTCCATCACACCAGGACAGCGTCTCCTGGTGGAGAAGGAACCTGTATCTGGTGCTTGCTCCTAGTAGGAAGGACTTTGCCCCCATCACCTCGAGTGATGCCTGCCTGCTGCTTCTATCTACCCACCAAGTGGGAGGCTTCACACTCGCAGGCAGGGAAAAACCCTGATCAGAAAAGATGGGCTAAAGCACATTCTACCCTTCATGATTGCGATTGCCAGCTTCTGGGGGGCCCACTGTGCCTCCTGGTGTTTGGAATCATGAAACAAGATCATAGTGACTTCTAGTGAGTTGTGTACAGCAGAGAATAGGGCAATAAAGGATGGAGTAGCAGCTCCATGATGAGCTGACACAAAGACAGGACTGTGTTTTGCTCATCCTTCCCTCTTTCTCTGTCATTCTCCTGGTGCCAGGTGCCATCCTGGAGCATCCATCTAGGGGCTCTGGCCAGAGGCACAGATCCAGCCAGCCCAGTCCCTCCACCCAGCATCTGCAATGAGCTGAACCTTGGTCAGCCACATAAGTGAGCTGAAAGGGAGACAGGCCCCCTTCATCTTGAGATGACTACAGACTCACCAGCCCCAGACTGCTGCTAGAACTACCCAGTAACACCAAGCCCAAATCCCCAACCCTCAAAGCAAGACTCTGGCTTTAAGCCCCCAATATTTGTTAGGCAGTAATAGATCAGCAATATTGTTATGCTAGGTCTTAAACCATCCAGGAAACCCTTTGTTCCCACTGAAATACCCCCATTAACACAAATCAAGAGATGATGAGAAAGTACCCTAAATTCCTAACACCTAAACACCCACAGGACATTGAACTACAAAACCATTATCTGCCTTTCATTCACAGCCCATGAGGCTCCCCTCTGCTTCTTTAATCTGCTTTCCTACTTCTGATTTTGTTTAAATGGGGCTAGACTACTGAAAATCTGTATATTCCATGGTGCCTCTTACCACACTGCCAGCCATCAGTCATGGAACTTCCTTTGTCCCAGGGCTGATGAGTCGCTGTGTGTGGATCTCCAGGACGAGGTAGGCTCTGAGTGAGTCACTCCTGCATGGCTCCCTGAAGCTTGAAAGGATAAGTGTGTGGGCTGCAATGAATGACCAAAACAGGCAGGAGAAGCCTTTGTC